TTTTTCCCCGTTTTTCCCTGTTTTTCCCGCTTTCCCAGCCCCAGCCATGGCTCTCCGCCGCTCCTCCCGGCTCCGTCCCTCGGGATCCTCCTCGGGATCCTCCTCCGGCCCCGCTCCGGGATCGGCCTCTCGGAGCAGCTCCCCCCACAGCCCGTGAGTTCCTTGGAAATGCCCTAGAAATCCTCCAATTCCCCTTTTCCCACTCGTTTTCCCCAAAAATCCCCCATTTTAGCCATTTTTTGCCACTCCCCCCCCCATCCCAGCTCTTTTTTATCCCGTTTTTTCCTAATTCCAGCCCCATTTTCCTCCGTTTTCCCCCCATTTTTCCCAGTTTCTCCTCATTTCCCCCAGGATTTTCTCCCCATTTTCCCCAGTTTTTCCCCATTTCCCCTGTTTTTCCCTCATTTCCCAATTTCTCCCCATTTTTCCTCCATTCCAGCCCCTTTTTATCCCTTTTTTTGCCTAAATCCAGCCCCATTTCCCCCCATCCCTGCCCCATATTCCCATTTTTTCCCAATTTTCCCTTTTTATCCCATTTTCCCCTAATCCCAGCCCCATTTCCCCCCATCCCAACCCCGTTTTCCCCAGCTTTTTCCCAGTTTCTCCCCATTTTCCCCCATCCCAGCCCCCTTTTATCCCATTTTACCCAATCCCATCCCATTTTCCTCCATTCCACCTGTTTTCCTTAACTTCCTCCCCTTTTTCACTCGTTTTATCCCTATCTCAACCCTTTTTAATCCCATTTTTCCCAATTTTTCACCAGTTTTCCCCCATTCTTCCTAACCCCATCCCATTCCCCCATCTCCCTCCCATTTTCCCCATTTTTACCCCTTCCCAACCCTTTTTAATCCCATTTTTCCCCAACCCTGTCCCATTTTTTCCCATTTCCCCCAGCTTTTTTCCCATTTCCCCCACGTTTTTTCCCATTTTTCCTCTTTTTTTCCCATTTCCCCTCTCATTTTCCCTGTTTTCTCCCCATTCCCCCCCATTTTTTCCCACCCCTCCCCCTTTTTATCCCATTTCTTTCCTGAGGGAATTTTGGGAACCCCACTCCTCACTTTTCCTTTTGAGGGAATTTTGGGTGTCCTACCTCTCATTTTTTTGCTTTTGAGGGAGTTTTGGGTTCCCTCTCTTTTTTCCTGAGGGAATTTTGGGAACCCCACTCCTCACTTTTCCTTTTGAGGGAATTTTGGGTGTCCTACCTCTCATTTTTTTGCTTTTGAGGGAGTTTTGGGTTCCCTCTCTTTTTTCCTGAGGGAATTTTGGGAACCCCACTCCTCACTTTTCCTTTTGAGGGAATTTTGGGTGTCCTACCTCTCATTTTTTTGCTTTTGAGGGAGTTTTGGGTTCCCTCTCTTTTTTCCTGAGGGAATTTTGGGAACCCCACTCCTCACTTTTCCTTTTGAGGGAATTTTGGGTGTCCTACCTCTCATTTTTTTGCTTTTGAGGGAGTTTTGGGTTCCCTCTCTTTTTTCCTGAGGGAATTTTGGGAACCCCACTCCTCACTTTTCCTTTTGAGGGAATTTTGGGTGTCCTACCTCTCATTTTTTTGCTTTTGAGGGAGTTTTGGGTTCCCTCTCTTTTTTCCTGAGGGAATTTTGGGAACCCCACTCCTCACTTTTCCTTTTGAGGGAATTTTGGGTGTCCTACCTCTCATTTTTTTGCTTTTGAGGGAGTTTTGGGTTCCCTCTCTTTTTTCCTGAGGGAATTTTGGGAACCCCACTCCTCACTTTTCCTTTTGAGGGAATTTTGGGTGTCCTACCTCTCATTTTTTTGCTTTTGAGGGAGTTTTGGGTTCCCTCTCTTTTTTCCTGAGGGAATTTTGGGAACCCCACTCCTCACTTTTCCTTTTGAGGGAATTTTGGGTGTCCTACCTCTCATTTTTTTGCTTTTGAGGGAGTTTTGGGTTCCCTCTCTTTTTTCCTGAGGGAATTTTGGGAACCCCACTCCTCACTTTTCCTTTTGAGGGAATTTTGGGTGTCCTACCTCTCATTTTTTTGCTTTTGAGGGAGTTTTGGGTTCCCTCTCTTTTTTCCTGAGGGAATTTTGAGAACCCCACTCCTCACTTTTCCTTTTGAGGGAATTTTGGGTGTCCTACCTCTCATTTTTTTGCTTTTGAGGGAGTTTTGGGTTCCCTCTCTTTTTTCCTGAGGGAATTTTGGGAACCCCACTCCTCACTTTTCCTTTTGAGGGAATTTTGGGTGTCCTACCTCTCATTTTTTTGCTTTTGAGGGAGTTTTGGGTTCCCTCTCTTTTTTCCTGAGGGAATTTTGGGAACCCCACCCCTCATTTTTCCCTTTTGAGGGAATTTTGGTCTCCCTCTTTTTCTCCTGAGGGTTTTTTTATGTTTCCAGCCCTCACTTTTTTCCCTTTTGAGGGCATTTTGGTCTCTCTCTCCTGAGGGAACTTTGCTGCTCCCACCCCCCATTCTCTCCTCTGGGGGGGGTCCCAGCCTTGAGAGACCCCCCCATAATCTCGTTTTTTCCCCGTTTTTCCCCGTTTTTCCCTGTTTTTCCCGCTTTCCCAGCCCCAGCCATGGCTCTCCGCCGCTCCTCCCGGCTCCGTCCCTCGGGATCCTCCTCGGGATCCTCCTCCGGCCCCGCTCCGGGATCGGCCTCTCGGAGCAGCTCCCCCCACAGCCCGTGAGTTCCTTGGAAATGCCCTAGAAATCCTCCAATTCCCCTTTTCCCACTCGTTTTCCCCAAAAATCCCCCATTTTAGCCATTTTTTGCCACTCCCCCCCCCATCCCAGCTCTTTTTTATCCCGTTTTTTCCTAATTCCAGCCCCATTTTCCTCCGTTTTCCCCCCATTTTTCCCAGTTTCTCCTCATTTCCCCCAGGATTTTCTCCCCATTTTCCCCAGTTTTTCCCCATTTCCCCTGTTTTTCCCTCATTTCCCAATTTCTCCCCATTTTTCCTCCATTCCAGCCCCTTTTTATCCCTTTTTTTGCCTAAATCCAGCCCCATTTCCCCCCATCCCTGCCCCATATTCCCATTTTTTCCCAATTTTCCCTTTTTATCCCATTTTCCCCTAATCCCAGCCCCATTTCCCCCCATCCCAACCCCGTTTTCCCCAGCTTTTTCCCAGTTTCTCCCCATTTTCCCCCATCCCAGCCCCCTTTTATCCCATTTTACCCAATCCCATCCCATTTTCCTCCATTCCACCTGTTTTCCTTAACTTCCTCCCCTTTTTCACTCGTTTTATCCCTATCTCAACCCTTTTTAATCCCATTTTTCCCAATTTTTCACCAGTTTTCCCCCATTCTTCCTAACCCCATCCCATTCCCCCATCTCCCTCCCATTTTCCCCATTTTTACCCCTTCCCAACCCTTTTTAATCCCATTTTTCCCCAACCCTGTCCCATTTTTTCCCATTTCCCCCAGCTTTTTTCCCATTTCCCCCACGTTTTTTCCCATTTTTCCTCTTTTTTTCCCATTTCCCCTCTCATAACTTCACCGTGCGCTCCTGCGGCTGCCGGGGTGGGAATGGGGTGAAAAACAGGGAAATAAAAGGGGGAGAATGGGGGGAAAATGGGAAAAATGAGGGGGAAAACGGGGAAAAATCAGGGAATTTCACCGTGTGCTCCTGTGGCTGTTGGGATATGAGGAAAATCGGGGAAAAACAGGAAAAAAAGGAGGGGAAAATGGGATTGAGTTGGGGAAAATGGGATTGGGATGAGGGAAAATGGGATTGGGATGAGGGAAAATGGGGAATTCTGGGGCTGGGATGGGGAAAACTGGGAATTCTGGGAGCTGGGGCTGTGGGAAAAGGAATTGCTGGGAATTTGCAGGCGAGGTGACCCCGGAGATGTTCCGGGAGCTGCAGAACTCCGAGATCATCCGGAGGCTCACCGAGACCTTCCAGGAGGTACTGGGCTTTTCCAGGGAATTTGGGGATTTCCTGGGAATTTTGGTGCTTTTCCAGGGAATTTTGGGGGTTCTCCAGGGAATTTTGGGGCTTTTCCTGGGAATTCTGGGGCTTTTCCAGGGAATTTCTGGATTTTTGGTGTATTTTCCCTGGATTTTTGGTGTCTTTTAATTGGATTTTTTGTGTCTTTTCTCTGGATTTTTGGTGTCTTTTATTTGGATTTTTGATGTATTTATTTATTTATTTGAATTTATTTCCAGGTCTCTTTGGAGTCTGCTCTGTCCCTGGATTTTTGGTGTCTTTTATTTGGATTTTTGGTGTATTTATTTATTTATTTGGATTTATTTCCAGCACTCCCCAGAGTTCCCATTCTCCCGAAATTCCCATCCCTGGCACTGGTTCCATTTCACTTTGGCTGTTTATTTCTGATTTAAGCACACCTGTGTTTATCCATATTAATAAATACATTTATTTATATTTTTATATTCCCAGGACTCCCCGGAGTACCCATTCTCGCAGAGCTCCCGTCCCTGGCGCCGGTTCCGCTCCGGTTTCTGCGATCTCCTGGCGGTGCTGCTGCAGCTCTGGGTGCATTTCCCTGTGTTTATCCATATTAATAAATACATTTATTTCCATTTCTTTATCCCAGGACTCCCCGGAGTACCCATTCTCGCAGAGCTCCCGTCCCTGGCGCCGGTTCCGCTCCGGTTTCTGCGATCTCCTGGCGGTGCTGCTGCAGCTCTGGGTGCATTTCCCTGTGTTTATCCATATCTATAAATACATTTATTTCCATTTCTCTATCCCAGGACTCCCCGGAGTTCCCATTCTCGCAGAGCTCCCGTCCCTGGCGCCGGTTCCGCTCCGGTTTCTGCGATCTCCTGGCGGTGCTGCTGCAGCTCCGGGTGCATTTCCCTGTGTTTATCCATATTAATAAATACATTTATTTCCATTTCTTTATCCCAGGACTCCCCGGAGTACCCATTCTCGCAGAGCTCCCGTCCCTGGCGCCGGTTCCGCTCCGGTTTCTGCGATCTGCTGGCGGTGCTGGTGCGCCGGGGGCAGCACCGGGAGCTGCAGGACGGTTTCCTCATGGGCTCGTGGCTCTCGTTCCTCACGGGCCTGGCCGACTCGCAGGTGCGGCCCTTCCGCCACACCGGCACCCTGGCAGGTGGGAGCCCCGAAATCCTGCAGCTTGTCTCTCTTTTCCTGCTTTCCTGGCTTTTTTCCTCTTTTTTCCTCTTTATTTTTCCTGGGTTTTATTCCTGGGGGGTTTTTTCCTGTTTTTTTTCCTGATTTTTTCCTGCTTTTTCCTGCTCTTTTCCTGCTTTTCCTGCTCTTTTCCCTGCTTTTTTCTCCTTTTTCCTGCTCTTTTTCCTGCCTTTTTACTGCTTTTTTCCTGCTTTTTCCTGATTTTCCTGCTTTTTTCCTGCTCTTTTTCCTGCTTTTTTCCTGCTTTTTTGCTTTTCCCTGCTCTTTTTCGTGCTTTTTTTCCTGCTTTTTTCATGCTTTTCTTGCTATTTTTCCTGCTTTATTCCACTTTTCCTGCTTTTTTTCTTTCTTTTTTCATGCTTTTCCCTGCCCTTTTCCCTGTTTTTTCCCTGCTTTTTCCCTGCTTTTTTCTTCTGTTTTTCTTCTGCTTTTCCCTTGCTTTTTCCCTGTTTTATCCCTGTTTTATCTCTGCCTTAGTCCTGCTTTATTCTTGCTTTTCCTCCTTCCTTCATGTTTTTCCCCTGCTTTTCTTCATTTTTCCTGCTTTATCCCTGTTTTATCTCTGCTTTATTCCTGTTTTATTCCTGGTTTCCTGCTTTTCTCCTGCTTCAGTCTTGCTTTTCCTTATTTATTTCTGTTTTTTTCCTGTTTTTCCTGTTTTTTCCCGGTTTTTTCTTGCTTTATTCCTGTTTTTCTTTTTTTTCTCCTGATTTTTCCTGCTTTATTCCTGGTTTTCCTCCTTTTCTCCTAGTTTTTCCCTGATTTTTCTCACTTTTTTTCCTATTTTTTATGGTTTTTTTTCCCCTTTTTTCCCCATTTT